AGGAATTTGTCCTTTCTCCTAGGCAAAACCTCTCTCTCTCTCTCTCTCTCTCTCTCTCTCTCTCTCTCTCTCTACTTGGTTCTCAAAGAACCAGGATAGCTTCAGCTGATGTAATCTTGCCCTTGAGCGTCACAGCAGCATCATGGGACCATTGAGTGGCCTCAATTGTGACCAGAGGCACACGGAATTATGATTCCACATACCATAGCCAGCTTGCAGGCAAGAAGACACAGGCTTTAGATGAGTTCTGACCATAATTAATTATGGAATGATCCCCCCCCCAGATTATATAGAATGGCTCTCGACACTATAGGTTTTCCTTTCTGTAAATATCATATACTGTAAATGGAATCACTCAATCTGTGCTAATTCACATCTGGTTTCTTTCACTCAGCATGTCTGTGAGGTTCATCCATGCTGTAACATGAATTAATAGTTACTGCACGGGCCGGGGATTTAGCTCAGTGCCACCATGTCTGCCTCACAAGTGCAAGGTCCTGAGTTCGATCCCCAGTACCAAAAACAAAACAAAGCAAAACAAAACAAAAAACCTACTTTTTTATTGCTGGATCATATTCTATTATAGTGTCATACCATGTCACATTTATCTATTCATAGACATTTGAGTTGTTTTCAATTTGAGGCTATTAAAAATAATGCTGTTGGGGGGGATGAACAAAATATATGCATGTACAAATGTGCCACTATTTGTAATATTAACTAATAAAAAAGAATAATGCTACTATATACATTGGTACAGACGTTTTTCTATGTACAGATGCTTTTATTGCTTTTATTAAACTCTTAGTGAATTTCTGTGTCATAGGATAAGTTTTTAAGAAACTGCTGAAATATTTCTAAAGTGTTTCTACCATTTTACATTCCTATCAGCAGGGTGTGGGGATTGCAGTGCTGTTGAGAATCTTTTAATACACCTGTCATTGGTGAAATGTCTTTTCAAATTTATTGCCTACTTTTAAATTGGATTTTTGTACAGAGTACAAAAATAGATATAAGTTCTCTATGAGATGATTTGCAAATATTTTCTTTCAGCCTGTGGTGTGTAACTTCATTTTCCTAACAATGTTTTTTGAAGTGCAGTTGTTTTTTTGTTTTTTGGGGGGTTTTTTTTGGTACCGGGGATCGAACTTGGGTCCTTGATCTTGTTGCATTGCAACTCATCAATTTTTTCCTTTTTGGATGTATTTTTGGTACCTTACCTAAGAACTCTTTGCATAACTCAAAGTCCTGAAGATTTTCACTTTTGTTTTCCCCTGGAAATTTTGTTTTGTTGTTACATTTCCTTGTTGTATGTGGTAAAAGGAGAGCTCTAAGTTCATCCAATTATCCCAGCATCATTTGTTGAAAAGTACTCTTTTGAAATATATAAAGTAAAAGGAAATGTACCTTATTCACAACTACTGTGTGGACATAGGTACAGTGTCGCTGCTTGTTGCCCATCATGTAATCAGGTGGCTCACCATGTGGTTGTGTGTGTACCTAAGCTGTCCTCTGTTCTAGCAGGGAAGGGCGGCCACTCTTGCCTCTTTCCTGTGATTGCTTCAGCCTATTATAATGGAGTGCAATCTGTGTGTGCTCTGTAACGGGGAGGTGCTGGTCACCTTGCTTAACTACAGTGATCCTCACAAAGTTAATGCTACAGTAAAAACTGGGTGAAGACCGGGAAATCCAGCTGTCGTCTGTAGGTGGAAGTAAATTGCCAGTGTTTCTGCCAACTCTGAAGTAAGGACCCAATCTGCACCACTGTCTGTCACAGCACTCTTTTTTCTGCTGGAACTGCATGCTTCCTTTGTGTACACAGCCTCATCTTTCCTCTAAGCACAGGGGAAGAAGACTTCTCTAAGTTTTCCCGAGAGGAAGCCACAGAGGAAACGGAGTGTCACAGTTGCTTTGCAAGCAGAGGGGAAAGGATGGTGTGAAATGCTAGCTTTATTTCCATTTCATCCCAGGCCCTGCCTTTCTTAAGGCATGATGAGAGGAGTTCAAGCCTGTATCTCCTCGATTTCTCACTAGGGCCTGACACTGGGGAATGCATACCCTAGCCAAGCAAGGTTGTCCCCTGCTCTGCCATCTCCTCTGTGGTGAGAATACCAAGCCTGAAGTGTGCCCACATTAACGCCACTTCCCATGTTGTGTGCTCATGTCCATACACACGTGATCACACCTCTCACAAACTCTCATCTGCTTCCTCTGGGTCTCCACATACCTAGCCAGCTGTCACTCACGAGATCTTTCTGTCTGAGCCCATATGTGGCAATTCCAACTCTCAACTCATTTGAGGGCAGGGCTGTGTTAATAGTTGGCAGTTCAAGAGGTCAGGAGCACATTTGGGCCAGATCAATACAATGTCAGGTCCCTCTGCTTTGTGCTTAGGCAAAACAAAGAAAGCTGACTCTAAAGCAATTTTTTTTCAGAAGGATGCCTAGATCATGTATATTTGAATCATAGGGAGTGCTTGTCAAAATTCAGCACACCCGGACTAGCTAAAGACTTACTAAATTGGGTGGGAATAGGAAGTGGGAGACCTTCTATTAAGTGGCAGCTCCATAAATGCCCCCTTTTAATTAGTGGAGAAAGTCCTCTTACATGCTAAAGTTTAGCATCTATTGGCTCAAGGGCCAAGAAAGAGGAATATATGGATCATCCATGGTAGACGGCTACTGGTGCTACTGCAGCATGAGATATTTTATACCATAGGACTTCATTATTTTTCTAATAATTGAGTACCAGAGTGTGTTAGTGACTTTTCTCTCCTTGCTGAGACAAGATACTCAACACCCTAAATTAGAGGGGAAGGGGTTTATTTGGCTTACAGTTCATAGAAGTTCCAGTCCATAATTGGCCAACTCCAAGGCAGGGATGACAAACAGGCATGGCAGAGCAGAAACAACACGGCACACACAAGGCAGCGAAGGTAACGTGAAATCCTTAACAGCGTCCCCCTGCTCCTTTTATCTTATTCAGACTTTTTAGGGCAGTAGCACTCACACTCTTAATCCTAGTGCCCTTGAGCCTAGCATTGCATCATGAATCAATTCCAGCTTCACACACTCTAGAACAAGCCTATGACCACATGAGGCTTTGGGGGGACATCTAGATCCAAACCACAACACAGAGTATGAAGGGGCCTACTCATTCATTTACATATAGGCAAAATAAGGCCAAGAGACACATAGTGATTTGGCCAAGGAGCTCCATTTTCTTTATTCTATATCTCTGTAATGACATGTCCATATAAAGTCTCCCAATGGAACTCTAAGGGCTATAAACCCTTTACTCAATGACAGAGTCCAAATCTGAGAAAGAAAGGCTGCAGGAAAACAGACCAAGGTAGGGCTGAAAGAGCCACGTACCAGTTAGCTTTCACATGCACCAGAAGTGGAAGGTCAGCTTCCTGAGCTGGCATGGAACATTCTGGGATAAATGCAAAATGCTAATGTAAAAACTTGTGTGTGAATTTGTTTTACTCAGTATTGTAACTGAGTTTGGTTTCTCTTCAGATCATTTAAAAGAAATATACAGTAAAACCTTGACCTGTGAGCATGATTCATTCCAGATACATGCTTTGTAATCCAAAGTATAGCAAAGCAAATCATCATACTCCAGTGATATATGCATATTAGTGTTTATAGCAGCACAATTCATAACAGCTAAATCCCAGAAGCGGCTGTATACCCATCAACAGACAATTAGATAAAGAAACTGTGTGATCTATATGTAATGGAATAATGCTTGACTATAAAGAAGAACAAATTTGAGACATGTGTAGGAAAATGGATGCCCCTGGAAAATATAATATTGAGTGAAATAAATCAGACACACAAGCTTAAATATTTGTGTGGTATCTCTCATTTGCATAAGGCAAAGTACAAACTATGGAAAAAATACAGAAAGGATAGAAGGAAACAAGGGGATGGATCTCTTGCAGATAGGAAGAGGTTCAGGGAATCAAAGACAAGGGGAGAGGATGGGGAAATAGGTACAGGGAAGATAAGCCAGTAAAAGGGCCTATTAACCTCAATGAATGTGGTCATTATCAGCCATAAACATGAACTAAGATTAATAATATCAGCAAGTATGAAAAGAGGGAAAGGGGAATCAGAGGATGACAGAGGGAGGGAGGAAAGAAGGGGATTAAAATAAAAAGAGACAAGTTGTATTATGCACATACACCTACTCCCCAAGATGACTGTAAAATGCACGTACCATGAACATATACTCATAAATAAAAACTAAAGAAATAATGGAAACTCAGATGATTTAGGCAATAATCCAAAAATCCATATAAAATGGTTACAGTACTTTAACAGAATGCAAAATAATAAAGAAAACAAAATATAAAGAAAAATAAACAAATCAACCTGCACTTCTTTTTGAAAACCTTTGTGGCTGGTGTGAGGGAGGGAATAGAAAGGAGGGTCCCTGTGATTTTTGCTGCTACCGATGGAATCACTGCTCTCTATTGGCTCAGCGCAATCTTCACCTTTTTTGTGCAACTTTAACAAGGAACCTATCCGACCATACCAGCAATACTTACTTTTGTCTCCTTTTGAGGATTTTGCGGAAACGTGATGCTCCATTGCTGTTAAGCAGATTCATCGCTTGTACGGGCACACCCTTCTTATTTGCTTTTCTACAAAAGTTTGCACCACTTCTCACATTTTACACAGCTCCCTAACCTCATTGGAAGTGAGGGAGTCCTCTGCCTTTTTCCTCTCTTCCTCTGCAGACAAAATCACTATAGCCTGTTGCTGTGGGGAGACAATCACTCATATTCGGAGAGAGAGAGAGAGAGAGAGAGAAGAGAGAGAAAGAGACAGAGACGAAAGAGAGAGGGAGAGAGAGGAAGAGGGAGATGAGAGAGAGAGGGAGGAGGAGAGAGACAGAGATGGGGGAGCTAACTATTGGCTCACTTGTGATCCTCAGATATTTGGCATCATGTACTACTCGTATTGCAAGACATCACTTGATTTTTTTTGTGAGTTTGAAATATATTTATTAATCTGGAGATACACTTACGTTTAACCAGGAAAAAGACATAAAATGAATCAAAAAGTAGTAACCATCATATATTTGATGTATTTTCATCCATTTTTCTACATTTTTAAAACATAGTAAAAGAACTGTTATAAGTTTAAAATGCATGTTTATATGTTCATAAGAGAAACAAATCAATGTAAATATGATAGCTGTGTTGTAGGTCCAGGAGGTTAACAACGCAAACCACAGCTAACCATTTTATTGCTTCCACCAGTTCCTGAAACTCTATTAGCAATTCTTTAATGCCAACAACATTAAAACAAACAAATACAAACTTTTATTTCTCTTCTTTCTACCCTTTCTTCCTGAGTCATCCCAGGTCCTCTTCTTGGCATCTCTCTGTCAAAGATAAGAAGAATGGATGAGTAGAACAGAACAAACATTTCTCTCCCTTCCTCTCTTCTCCTTATATCCCTGAAAAGACACGGGTCACTGTCACTAGACAAAAGCTGATGACCCATGAGTATACAATTCTACTTGTCTGTGACAGTCCCACCGCTGTAGTTTCAGACAGATAAGATCAGAACTTTTACAGTAATTGCCTAATTTTGGAAAATGGGCAAAATATTACATTTGCTTTTGAAAACCATAATGTAAGACACTCTCGGTCCTTTGTTACAAATGCTAACTTTTAAAAAAATTTAGACATCACTTGTTTATCAAGTTAAAATTTATTAGAAATGTTTGCTTGTCTTGCAGAACACTTGTGGAATAAGTTACAATCCAAGGTTTTTCTGTATTTAAAAGCTTTTCCAATTCTCAGACATTTCTCCCTTGATATTTGAAAATTTATTTCTAGGTGAACGGTTACTGTGTGGCTACTTAGACTCTGAACTCTAAACTTTCTCTAAGAAAAAGAAATAATTGTGAAAATATTTGAGGAACTGTACCTTTACCAACGTTAGGGAGTAGTTAGTGTATTTGTGGAGAATTATATAAATGAAGACATGGGTGGAGAATGTTTGGCCCTATAGGCATTCTTTATGCTCAGTGTGGTCTTGACTGCTTTCCCAGTAAGCATCACACACAAGGAAATAAGAAGGTCCAAATAGATATACAGTACAAGATTAGGGATTTTTCTTTTTCTGTGATGGGACATGACAGCATGGTACACCAGGCAGCTCTTGTCTAAAATGATGTTAATCTGTCACTATTTAAATGAATTAGTGTTTTCTGGGAATGAGAGGTTTATAAGCCAATATACCAGTTGATGCTCAAGAGCACGTTGTTTTTATTTATCTATTTTTTGGGTAGTGGGGATGGAACTCAGGACCTTGTGCTTTCAAGGCAGGTGGCAGCACCACTGAGCTAAATCCCTGGCCCTAGCACATGTTATTTTTGAAGCCAAAAGTATTGAGAAACATTTTGAGGAGCACTGCTGTTGCTTCATTTTAGGTCAATGTCCATTCATTTATACACAGCATTTTTTATAATTCTATGTTCCAGGTAAATTTGATGACAGAGAGGGGAAGAGGTACAAAAAGGAAGAGGGACTTGAATTAACTTGTGGTATTTTGCTTACAAATGATACAATACCTATCTTTATCTCCTGGAAGTGGCTTGGGGGATTTAGTTCCCATTCCCCATTCATCTCTATACCATGAGTGAGAGCACAATGAATCTCCTTGCTAGCTAAGAGAATCTCTCCAAAATGGTGCCAAGACAGCTTCTGGAAGCCCCAAACTTACATGATCCTTATAGTTCATGACCCTCTGTTCTCAGGTGTTCCGCTCTGCCTCTGTAAAGCCCTCTAGTTGGTGATGCTTGTATCATCATGTGACAGATAAAGGTTTCAAGGGAGACTTACTGGTCAGCATGGCTCTCTGGGCCTCTCCTTGAATACAATAGGAGAATTGAGTGTGTGACATTATTGGCCTTTTCCCTGAAGTCACAGAGAGTAAAGAGAGAGCAGTTCAAAAAGATGAAAAAGCCACAAATTCCCCATAACTAGAGGGTGGATCAGAAACTTCAGAACTTAGTAAAATAGGAGTTTTTATTCATTTTGTATAGGACAGTGTAGGTGCTCAAAATTGTAATTGCCTCATTGGTCTTTGGTCAGAGGATGTGAAAGAAAAGACAGACGCTTGATTATATATAAAAAATTTATTTTTCACTTTCTGCTGCTATTATGACTAATGATAAATACTTCCCCCACCCCCACTTCTCCATTGAAAGACTTCTTTCAAGACGGAGGTAAGTAGAATTACTATGAATGTGACACTGGACAGACTGAAGAGTACTGGGGGGCCCTGAAATGATACTGGAAACCTCTGCAGTAGGCTCCATTCTCCTACTCAGTAGACAAAGCAGGCCTGAGAAAAAACCCTAAAAAACAGAACTGAGAGAGAGAAAGCAGGGCAGCAGGATAACCAATGCTGGTGCAGCCAACAAAGGCACTGGCCAGCCCAAGCCACTGATTTTTTCTGGTAATCAAATGGGGTAAAGGTGAGCTATGTCCAAGGGCAGAACTATGTGTGAGGATGCGCAGATGTGCGGTTTCTATGGAAATTAATGTAAGCAAGGCTCCTATTAGAAACGGAATAGACAAAATATATGATTGTAATTAGAACATTGTCCTTTTAGTTAGAACATTTTAGCTGTGGGAATGCAATTTGGGTGCATGTGGACTCCTAAAACAAGCCAATCGTGGGGTTAACTCTTTACGGCCTAACTTCTTACAGCATGCGTTGGGGCATAATCAATATTGTAGTCTTCCACAGATGAGAGCTCACATTCTGACTACGTAGCCGTCTCATCTCCATGGAGATGATTTAACTTCTCTAACCTGAGTTTTCTCATCCATAAGAGATGATATGTACTTATCTATTCGTATTGTCATGAAAATTAAAGGGGAAAATACCAGCTATTCATTTAGCTTACCTGACCCAGAGGAAGCTCTTAAAATGCTAGTTGTTATAATTATTATAAGACTAGCTCATGTGCTATAGACTAGTTCATTTGTCAGCAGGTTTCTGGGTTGGCTGTCAAATTCCCCAGTGTCTTGTGCCTGTATTGCATTTGTTAGAGAGATGTTTTGCTCTTGTTATGACATCGCTTCTGTTCCCCCCATTTGGCCTGGCAGCTGTGCTAGTCCACTTCTGTTGTCAATAACATATTACCACAGATTGGGTAAATTATAAAGAAAAGAGATTCACTGTGGTTTGAAAATGTGGTCCAGAGCCAAGGGGCTGCATCTGGTATATAGTCTTCTTGTGGGCAGACTCCCAAGGTGGCACGAGGGAATTGCATGATGAGAGACAGGGAGCATGCACTGTTTGCTCTGCTTTTGTCTCTCTTCTTATAAAGTGATCAGTATTCAACCCCAAAGGTCCCTTCTTTAAACACATAGCTGGATTAAGTCTTCACCTCTCAATAACTCACAATGGGGATTAAACTCCACTATGAGTTTGGGAGGAGGCAGTGTTCAGACCATAGCAGCAACCAGCATTTTGTGGATACTCATCCTGTCTACAAGTTCAGGTGGTGTTCGATGGAAACAACTTTGGGCTGATGGACTCACTGTATTACTCCTACACTTCAATTAAGAAGATACTTTTCTTATTGTGTCGTAAAAAAATACTGAAGGATATGAAGAAGTATAAAGGAAATAAACATCACCATCTAGAGATTATTATTGCTAGCAATTCAGTACTGTATTTCTCTCTCTAGACATGGTTACAAGATATATGGTATGTAGTCTATTACAATTTGGGTCTTACATGTCCCCAGAAGCCATGTGTTGTGTAGGCTTGGTCCCTAAGGCAGCGGTCATCAGACATGGGGTCTTTGGGAGGTGACTGGATCATGAGGGCTCTGACATCATGAATGGATCAATCCATTCACGGATTCATAACTTAATGAGCTACTGTGATGTAGTGGAAACTGCAGCAGATAGGGCCTAGTGGCTTAAATAGGTAACAGGGGTTGGGAAGGGTTGTCCTGGAAGTGGATATTTTGTTTTCTGCCCTTTTACCTCCCTCTTGTCATTTTGCTTCCAGAGCAGCTTTCCTTGGCCACATGTTTCTGTCACAAATGACTGCCTCACCCTTGGGTCAAGCAACCATGAACTGAAACCATTCTTCTTGTAAGTTGAGTTTTTCTGATATTTTGTCATAGTGACAGAAAGCTAAAAAACACATACACATGTATTAATATAAATATTTATACAATTTACATATGTGTATTGAAAATTGGATCATGACATAGCTGTATCTTTTTCTGTATCCTTTCTTCATTAAATACTATAAATATATTCTCAATACACTAAATATTCTTCAAAATTTTGTATTCAAAGAGAATTAGGGTGTTTTGAGAAATAATTTTACCTTACTTGCTCATTCTTTTGTCATTAGGTTTGTTTTCTAGATATTTTACCATTATAAATACCATTCTGAATATCCTAGGACAAATACTTTAAAAATTCACTTCTTTCATTAGTATTTTAAAAAGTGAGATATAAAGTTAATGCACAGGTATGTATAGTTTTGATAGGTTTTTTTTGGTACTGGGGATCTAACTCAGGACCTTGCGCTTTCAAGGCAGGTGGTGGCACCACTGAGCTAAATCCCTAGCCCGAGTTTTGATAGTTTTAACAAACATATTCATCTGATATCATCTCTTTTATCAAAAAATAAAATCTTTCTATCATGGAAAGTTCCCTTGAGTCTCTTTCCAGTAAATCTACCAACCTGATCTTTAGAATTTATATTTGCCCTTTCTTAAATCTCACTTAAGTGGAATCAAACTATATATATCTTTTGTTTTACTTTTGCTCAGAATAATTTTGATGATGAAATGAATTTTGAGATTCTTCTATGTTGTTTGGTAATCTGTTCCTTTTTATTTCTGAGTTACATTCCATTATAGGAATAGACCATTGTTTATCTGCTTATTTATCTGTTGGTAGTATTTGGGTTGTTTCTAGTTTGGGACTATTATGAATATTGTTGCTGTTAGCATTATTTTAAAATATTTTTTAACAGACATATATGTTCATTTATTTTGGGTAAATAGCTAGAAGTGGAATTTCTCAGTTATAGGGCAAGTGTATATTTATGAGAAACTACAAGTTTTTAAGAATAGCTACAATAATGTACCTTTTCACCAGCAATATGTGAGTTCTGGTTGTTCAATGTTCTCTACAATATTTGAAGCTAATTTTTTTATTTTGACATTCTGGTGAGTGTGTGGTAGGATATTATTGTTTTAATTGCATATACTTAACAATTAGTGATTTCGAGCATTTTTTAATGTGCCTGTTGACCTTTCATATACCTTCATTTGTAATGTGTCTGTTCAAGTCTTTTGGCCTTTCCTTTAAAAAAGTTAGATTTGTCTTTTATGCATTGTGAGCATTTACCCTCAGTCTATGGCTTTCCTGTTAATTTTCTTGGTAATATGTTTTTTTAGTAGAAGTTTTATTTTTGATGATGATTAATTTATAAATGTTTTCCTTTATGGTTAATGTTTTCTATGTCCTTGCAGGAAATCTTTTCTCCATTGTTTTCTTCTGGAAGATTTGTACACTTAGTTTTTTACATTTAAGTTTTCAGTTCATTTTGAGTTAATTATCATGCTTGATTAAGGGTTCAAAGCTTTTTTATTTCCTTCATGGCTATCAAGCTGTAAAAGCATCATTTATTGAAAAGACAATCTGTTCCCTATTGCCTTAGGCCTTTGTCATACTCGTTAACTATGTGTTCTTGGGCCTACTTCTGGACTGTCAACCTATTTGCCTATTAATATGCCTATACCACCTGTTTTGATTAGTATTAGTCCAACAGAAACATTTGAAATCAAGTAATGTAAGTCTTTCTACTTCGTTCTCTGGGAGCCCAAATGCTTTGTTTTCAGTGTAAAAGCCTTGCACATCTTTCATTAATTTCTGTATAAGTATAATGATGATGGTGCCCTTATCAAAATTAAACTTGCTCCTTGCTAGTTCTGATAAATTCTATTTCCAAAAGTAGCTGCAACAATGTTTCCAACTCTTATACTCTTCTAGAATCAGGAGACAGAGTCTCTTTCCACCTGCCTTCGGCTGACTGGGCCTTTGAGACGGCTTTGATAATCAGGAGGTGGTGGAAGAGACACTGTGTGCTCCTCAAGGCCAGGTTAGGAAAGGTGACACAGCAGCAAATGACACTGTCTCTTGGGAATCCACCCTGCAACTCACCACCATGAAGTAGGAAGCCCAGGTAGGGAAGCCATGTGTGGGTATCCCAGTTGCCTGCCCCAACTACAGGCAGCTGCCAGCCAGCATTGAATGCCATATATGCATGTTGGTGAGTGAATGAAGTAATTAATGGGGACACGGTCTAGGATGATGGCCCTTTTTGTCTTTGGGAAGAGAAAGATTCACAATTCTAGTAAATATTTCCTCTATATGAAGTTTGAGACACTGCTTTCTAAAAAGTAATGTGTAAAAATAAGAATAATTCAGAGAGAATTTAGGTCATAGAAACAGATTTACAGAATGCTTAGTAAGAACTTCATAGAAGAATATTTTATTGAAATGAGCTTCCTTCTTGGATCTTTTGCCTAATACTGTCAAGGTTGATTTTTAGTTTGTTAGTCTATAAATAATAACAGCGAGAGAGGGGAGGTGTTCTATTAAAAAAGGATAAAAGGAAATTGGTCTGGAGGCACAGGGAAAAAATGGGTAAGGGATGGATATAAAAACACCTTCCACTGTGCCTGTACTGTGATGTTTCTTAAACTGGAGAAATGCTACATGGATTGCTATATGCTCACTTATATCTTTTAACATGCCACAGAAAATGTATGTAAGCATTTTCTTTTAAAATGTTTATATATAATACTTATACATAATATTTATTTATATATATGATGCAGATGCACACAAAAACATTTTTAAAAGAAATGGGGGCCAGGGTATAGCTCAATGGTAGAGCATGAATGGTCTAGCATGCCTTAGAGTCTTGGTACAATTTCCAGGACTTCAACGAAAATAAAGAAAAGAAATAGAACCTTTTTTTTTAGTACCGGGATCAAACTCAGGAGCGTGGTGCCACTGAGCTAAATGCCTGGCCTGAAATAGAACCTTTTTCACTTAGAAGAAAAAGGCTTAGATGACCTGAAGCTTTCGGATGTATGAGAGAACTTTTTGAGAAGGGCGATAACTGTTTTCTAGGGCCATGATGATTAAACAAGGAAGAATGGACTCAAATTCAAATAGAAGTTAAGAAGGTTATAGAAAGGACCTGTCGAGAGCCCAAGTTCTGGGACACTGGAACAGGCGGCCAAGAGAAGCTGATCCAGGTTCCTTCCTTGGAAGTCTCAGAGAAAAACAGTCACAGCTCCTGAGGGCTTGCATCCTCTCCTGGGAAACTGGTCTGTCCTGGCTGAAGGAACTGCTTACGGAGAGGGTCACACAGAACAGTGAAGGACAGAGAAGGCTGTTTCAGAGAAAGACAAGGAATTTCTCTTTGCCTGCACCCCATCTCTAGGGAGGAAAAGGGCTGCTCACGAGGCGTAGTTATGTTCCGTGATACTCGACAACCACCAGGGTGAGGTAGAGGCCGGTGGGTCCTACCTGGGACCTTCCCATTCTTCTTGATTTGGGAACACCTAACATTATGCCTCTAAGAATTGCAGCAACTATCTTCTTGAGAAGTTCTTCCTTTTATAAGGCCAGAGATACAGTAAATTTCTCAGGCTCTCCCTATTGATCTGAATTTTATATTTGCTCTTCCTCCTTATGGGCTCCATCTTTGGTTCCTAGGCTGCTTCTGGGAGGGCAAAAAGGGTGCCTCTGGGTGATCCATACTGGCATTTGGATTCCAAGCCTAATAATAAATACTGGACATTGCTTGCTTTGGTCTTTTGTGTATACATTTTCCTTGAGCAACTGAAAGATAGGATTGAAGTCTGGATTCGATGGCCAACATCTGTCTATTCTCTTCAGTTTTCCAAGGGGCAGTCCGATTAGGGGAATAACCATGGCAATAACACAAGTTCAAAGGAAATATTCACCCTGCTCTTTGAAATCTATGCTGTGATCTTCAAGGTGTGCCAAGTGAACAACCTTAACATTGCTACAAAGTTGTCAGGCCAGTTTAGGTTATTGGGAGATAAACATATCCACAAGAAATGATCTTGTTTTGTGATAGGATTACACAAAATCAGGGTAGGATACTGGACCTATTTGT